ATCTATCTATCTATCTATCTATCTATCTATCTATCTATCTATCTATCTATCTATCTATCTATCTATCTATCTATCTATCCATCCATCCACAGTCCTCACAGCCTTCTGAAACACACTACATCTGAGCTCCATGAATATCAAAATCACTCAGCTTTTCATCCCTCTTGCTTGATGTCTCATGTTATTCAGATCAGAAACAGAAGCTCTGACAATGTCAGCATTTTAAAGCTATACCATGAATATTGTGCAGTGCTTTCACCCACATTTTGAGGTTGTAACTGTATTTTGCGGTGCATTTCCTTGTTTACAGTTTTTCTCAGTTGCTTTGGTGCTTTTCTCACATCACTATTAACATTTGCACAGCAGTTAGTGTATTTCTCAAAACGTTTGGTGCAAACTGCAAAACCTAGTGGATAATCTGCAAAAGCAGGTCACTTGCTCAAAATCAATAATCCATTCCTCAAAAGCAAGTATTCATGTCAATGAAACTGCCGGTGTCATCAAGGTGAGAAGTCTTGACACCATCTTTATGAACAAGATAGTCAAATGGCTTTGTCATGTTTTCATTATGACAGTTCACAGTATTCTCTCTGTGTTTTCCAATGCAAAAAAGGTCAGAATTCGGTGACACTACCTGAAAAAGCTCAAGACAGCACTATACACTTTTTGTACAGCCAAGTACAGTAAAATCTACAGAAAAGTTAGACATTCCTGTAGTTAGGGAAGTAAGTGAGTACAAGACACTGAATATGTATGTTTCACATTTTTACTGTGTAGGCTGTTTGTAATTCTACAACATTGTGCAAAAGAAAAATACTCTACAGTCACTTATTTAGAATAAACATAAGAAACACCCTTTTGGTAGAGCTGTGCACAAATGTGAACAATATAACAGTACATATTGTAACTGAACATACGTAAATCATTCTGACCACATATTAAAGAACAAAAGAGAAAGAAAAAAAAAAGGATTACCTGTTATTAAACCCTGATTCTTTTGTCCCCATGATAGAACAGAGAAAACCGACTCATAGTGTGTTAAAATATTTATATTTCTTTTTATTCAATCATCTTCCGGAAGAGAGAGACCCCTGCACAGCCCAAATGCCAGTTGCAGGATCTCTAACATTAGAATCATAAACTGTGTCTCATATAGGTATTATTTTGGTACTTTACACGTCACACAGTTTCGATACAAACATTCCTTATATGGCAAAGTTCCTCTTTTCTGTCTGTCTTCCTGTATTTATTAATATGCTTGTATAGCTCTACACTAACTTCCTGTTTTTCAGTCTGGCTGAGCACTTAGTTTATGAGTCAAAAGTGGCCTTGCTTTGCAAACCTTCATTATTAAAGTACAATATAATAATATAATAATAAACAATATAATAAGAAAATAATTACATGACACTGTCCAACAACCCAGAGAAGCCTACATTAAAAAACAGTCCCAAGAATAACTTTTCTCCTCCTGCTGGGTTTGTGTTGACTGCAGGGGTTGATACACTCTCCCGAGCATTGCAATGGCATCATCAACATTTTTTCTGCACAGACCTACAATCAAGAAAGCAGACTGCTGGGCAGTAGAGCTGATATGAGAGATCCTTGGGTCGTTCATTACTTGAATATTAAAGCATTGCAGGGCATAAGCTGACACTGTAAAGTGGTTAAAACAACAGTAAGTAAGCTTTAAATAAAATCAAAGGACAGTGGTATTATCAAAGAAAAGTTGACTTTGCATTACCTGAGTTGATCACAGCAAAGGGAAACATCTGCATTGCTTTCTTTTTAAATGCCAGGAACACAGTGAGCTTGTTGAGTACAAGGCGAATGTTGGTGAGACGCTGGAGAGGATGGGACGAGGCAGCAGTCTTAACCCCTTGGAGGATGGCATGTGCCACAGAATCGGGGTCCAATCCACCAGATCCTGGACAACCATTC